CCTTTGTTACAGATGAGGACGGCGAAATTTACGAAGGCTGGTTCTGGAATAGAGGAACATTCGCAGGAGAGGCTGCAATTCAGAAAGTCTCTTTTATTGGAGACTTTAGCCAATTGAAGTTGGCGTCTTCCTTCGTTTCGAGGTCGATACGTAAACAATAGACACCTGTATTAACAGGTGTATATAACAGTGTACTTAAATATCTACTATTGCTTTTAAGCAATGACTGTGTTTAGCAAGTGTTCGGACAGTGGCAAACGATCTACTTGAGCTGATGCTCAGGTAGATCGTCACTGTTCCATGCAATGAGTTAGTAAACGACGTAGAGTTGCCTATAGAGCAAAGCTGGATTTTCAGCCGAAAGATGGGGCTATTTGGGACAGTATTCGACAGTCTATCAGGCTTTGTTGAGTGATAAAAACAAAATAATTAGCTTACTCTTATAATCTATCTTTGCCATAGAAAACACATGTATACAAAATGTCACTGGGATTTATATGGACCAGGGTGGAGTGGGCCTATAAGGCCCGGTGTTATTTCAGCCTGTGTTATTTGAAACAGATTGTCATTGTTCATTAATTGTAAATTTCTTAAAGCTCCTTTATTAAAGCAAGTGTAACTAAGCCCTGTGAGTATATATGCAATATATATATATGTGTCAAGCGAAACTAAAATATCGGTACTGACTTTATGTTCTGTATGCTTAATGTTGACTTTCGAAAACGCCCGTGAGGACCATATTTACATAGCCTACCACAGGAAAGTATCGCTTACAAGCTGACTACAGTTCTTCTAGTTCTTCCTTCTTGATTGATCAGTACTAAACCTGATGTATCGGACAGTCACATAAAATTCTTAAGAAATTCGTAATGACTATCTTTTTATAGAGCATTGTTGAAACTGCACAATGTCACTAACAAATATTTATAAATGTATTAAGCTAAATGTATCGTAATCTTAAATCAGATGTTTCTAAACAGCTTAAGCGCTACATGCTGTTGGTTTACGCTGAATTCGATGTACCAAAAATTACTTTGTTTTTTCTTTAAATTTATTTGGTATCAACTGAATCCGCTTCGTCCAAAACGAACATCCTTTGTTTGTTTTGAACGAAGCGACGTAGTATTAGCTGGCAATGAACTCACAATAACTGGTATAAATAACAAAAAAAAAAAAGAGATACAAGGGGCTACCAGGAATCGTTCAAAAGGCAGTGATGGATATTGCAGATGAAGGGCTTTCCGCCAGTGAACCTTGTATGCAGAAGATCACAATGCAACAACGGGTCAAAGCTGTGGAAGAGGCCACAGTTGCTCCCATTCAGAGCTAGTCTGTTCCAACGTACGTCTGTTCGCAAGAGGCTATGTAGCAATACACGTTGTCTAATGTGTAGGAACCATACAAGGTCGTATCGCGCTCAAGACGAAATTAATCACATATGAGTTCGTTAAGGAGCTGAGCAGAGGCGTACAACAGAGTTAGTATCGCGGCCGGAGTGCAGGAAATAATCGGACAATCGCTTTGTTTGCGGGGCACAACCAGCTTTTCTGGCGGCAAGCCGGTATTTTGCATGTGCAATAGGCTTTAACAGGGTATCACTGAAAGGTTTTTTTTTCATTTTAAACCTTGGTAAACATCTTGAAATATCTTTACTCCAGAGAAAGGCAACGATCTTTGTTATGGTATTAGACGCTTGAAAATGATTATTTCTAAAACAAACGAAGTAAGCTGTTGCACAAGCGACATCACAGGACCGTCGAATGTTCACTTCGGTCTTCCTTGCTTTCGTGTTTGCAAGCGAAAAGAGAGTTCCGTCATGTTTAGCGCTTGTTCAAGTGCACTTTAAGGAACACTTGCTAATGACTGCATCTATTGGAAACCATGATATAGCAAACCTGTCCTTATGTGACACAAAAGAAGAGCTTGAAGACTGTTATAGGCCTTATATCGCATTATATATATCGCGGCCAGTTGTCGTCGCCTAAAAGAGCCAAGCGTAGTAATCATGGAAAACCACGGAACTTATTATGCCTCAGTATGAGCAAGTGAGAGAAAAGCGTTTACCACATCACGCTTCCTCAGTACGGCTTGACCAAGCTGCCAGTTTGGCTGTATCGGTCTTTGGATTATTCAAATAAGAGCTTGTTAGTACACAGTAGTAGAAGTAGAAGGGTCACAATCTGTGACACAGCAGGATCGGCAATATTTATGATGCCAAGTATCGTTGGAAAGTCCTGGGGTACAGGTATCTTCCCATATTCACGGACAATTACTTTCTTCCCTCATTAACACAGCCCGATAATCAGCTAGTTGGTTCAAATATGTTCTCCCGTAGTATAGTCATTTGTCCTCGATAATAGAAGCTACATTGCTGACAGCTCCGTTGTAATATTCAAGGCTCGCTATTTCCCATGGCAGGTGATAAGCTCAGAAACTAATTTTTATTTATTTCCTCCAAAAAAGTATTAGTAGCTTCGTGTTTAATAGCACAGTTTGTTCGCTTCAACAGAAAGCTGTCGAGAATAAAAACGAATCAATTTTTCTTGTTCTCTAGCACAATATTGGCTATGCTGATGTTTCCATTAAAAAATCGGCATTTTCTGAAAAAATATTGGCATTTCCATATTAGTATTCTCAAGTAATCGTTTACCCATAAAGCCTTGTACTGAGTTAGGATAAGATTAAGACACAATAGTAGGGATCTAGAATTAGGGTTCTAAGCAAGCGAATCTGTAATGACTTGAGCTTAGGTTAACAAAAATGGCATTGCGATGTCGGGAACCAGTAGCAAAATATAGTCATAGAGTTAAAGAGTTGGGACGTTTTATGGCAAAAAAGCGGTATATCATAATTAAGGTGGTATTCGTTACCACTCAGACCGTACTACCTTGCTGTACCCTTAATTAGTAGTAATTTCACTATTCAGAGAGTAATAAGGGATTTTTGGGCGATCCCTATAAGTTCGCTCCGAACTTGTACCTGACTTGGAGTAAGAACCATTTCTCCCAGACAACTTCAATCAATGCTATTATATTGTCCATTACGAGCGACGATCTTCCCTTGCCTTTTAGGCGGCAGATATTTTACTATTTCTTTTCCAAAGCTGATATTTGTATTTGCGATAGACTAGTCAGTATGTATTTTTATACCTTAAAAGATATAAAATTCCTTCCATTAAGGGAGTTCTACAATTATCGGAAGAATGTGTAATCGTAAGGATCGTAATCATTTCTGATTGTTATATTATTTATTTAACCACCTAAAACCCGACCCGCAACGAGGTCGAGTTTTAGGTGGCTTAGAAGAAACGTCTCACTTAAGCTCGTAGAACTTAACAGAGAATAAAAAAGATGTGGGGGCTCATTTTTTGAATGCTTAGCCTTACACTGTAATAGTACTTAACTGAGATTCCTTTTGGATTGTTTTGGAGGAGACTGACAAAAGTTCCTCCGCAATCCCATCAATGCGCAGCATCACCGTCTTTGAATGGGGTCCGGTTTTAGCTTCGGAAAGATTTAAAGTCCTGTTTAAATTTGAAGAGCATATTATGTTTTTGCCAAGATCTGCCCTCTATGCTGCATCTAGTTTCCACCGTCTTTTCTTATCATTGCTAGAGAAGGGTTGTTTTCGTTCCATTTCAAAAGATTACCGGCCGCGCAAACATAGTTTAGCAGTCAACGTATGAAAAATCCGCGTGCCTACTCGATTGAGAAAATCCTTGCTTGCTAAATGTCTTTGAATAATTAATCTGGATACGCCTGTATTTCCTACAATCTGACCAAGGCTCGTATGTTGGTTTTGATCGATTGCAGTGTTCCTATAGTCAGAAAGTAGACCTAAACGTCTTTTGTCTTCCATGCTGAAATAACCACTTTGAAAGTAAGCGAACCAATTGCTAACCGTCTGGTCGGTTACGGTGTTGAATCTATGTATTATACGAATCTGTTCACCAGTTTTGGTCGCGTTTAGCTATTTGAGAAAGGAAAATTTCAAAATCAACCTTGAACACATACTTTATATCTCCATCTTTGGTCTCCAATTTGAATTCAATGCACAATTGCACACGATGCTGAATTAGACCTGGGAGGCGTCTTCCAAAAAGAAAAGAACTGTTTCTTCCCTTGCCCATATTCGTTGGTGGCGCCAAAATTTAAACTGCTTTAAACACTGTTGACATACATGTAGCTCAGGTAATAAATATGTAGTTCACATGTTGAGCCGATTGCTTTAATTAGCACTTTCATCTTGATTTGAATCCTAATATTAATTGACTTCTAACTTGATCAGTTTCTGATAAAGTTTTCATAAAAGAAATTATTTCTGACCGCCTTTGGATACTATTTTGTGCGTTCTAGATGGACGGCAATTTTTGACCTATAGTTTATTAACTACAAAATTTAAAAAAAAATAACCTTGTACTTGATTGACAACAATTACCTCGTCAAGAGATTAATTTCATCTCCGCTGACCAGCATTCTGAAAAGCGCAGTCAGTAAACCTCGAGCCGTCCGAAACCTAAAACTTCGCCACGGGTTTCCTCACTGTATATCCACCCGTCAATAGGACTCTCCAGCACCCGACTGAAGCGACCGAGTCCAAAGTGTGCCCTATATGCTGGGATGTAGGCTATGGCGTAGATCTAGAGTGGTCATCCAGTAGTGGCAGTAGCTGGGAGCCACCCGTATTAAAAAAGTCTTGATGTGTCGCACCTAAGTTTTTTATATGCTTTCCGTTATATAAAAGGAATTGTATTTATGCAGCTAATATAAATACAGCAGTCTGTATAAACTGTTTAGTTAACTAGGAATTGGCTACTTCGTCGTCATTATGGCCTTAGCCGGCGCCTACGGTAAAACAAAGATCGGATTCATTCATTCCATGAAAAAAAAAGCTAGCAGACATCAGATCTATCTTCTTTATAACAGAAATCGTTGCAGACTAGATAAGGAACGCTAACGAGATCGGTCATTGGAGATGTGGCTGGTGGGAAAGCAGGCAGCTGCTTTCTTGTTATCCGATCTCAGCTTATTGTCTGTCTCCACGATGTCTTCATAGACGGCGGCGCCGTAGCTACTGTTCGAGTGAATGCAACTTGACGCTAAATTGTGAACCCTAAAACGGAGACCAGTTGGTAGTTACCGACTAGGAATTCCAAATATTATGGCTTAAACCATAGTTATCTTCACCGTTTTGTCCTTGCTAGTCTAATCTCTTGTTTATCTAGTTAACCTGGTGATTCGCCAGTTTCTTTATAGAGGTCATTTTATCGACTTGCTCTAATATTAACAAATTTTATCGATGTAACATCCAACTGGAGACGCCTTTATACTAGTTCCATTTCTCGGACTTAGGGAACATGTTTTGCCTGTAAGCCCCGTAACTGGTCCGTCTGTTAGCCTGTTCCAGGGATCAGTTGTTTCTTACTTGGTCTATAGTTCTGCAGAAGTTCTGTGAAGCTATTGCAGTTATTTGGTCTGGCTTCTGGTGGGGTCTGATAGTAACCTTATTTCAGATGACTCAGCGTGCGATCTTCATTGCCTTGTCGCCATATTCCTTCCGTTTCGAGCGTGTGTGAAGGCGTACGGCGAACGCAAGTTGTCAGTGATTCCGGCAAAATAATTAACCGCCAACTTCCAAAAATGTGGTAAATATAACTTTGTCTAATACTATGAAAATTCTTGACGCTTTCTTGGCAAATCGTTTAAAGGAATAAAATTTGACCAAATTAGAATAGAAACATGAAATGTATCCTGTTGGACCACGGCAATTACCCTCCTCAAATTTGGCCGTTACACTCAATCTAGCGTACTGTAATCATTGTCGTACGTACCACTGATATCCTAGCAGCTCGTTGCGATAAGTATTCTATCGGCTGTGAGAATCCCGTAGATCAAAATGGGGTGATACTGTTCGATCGTCCTAATGGTATATTTCCTATGTTATTATGAGTCAATTTGTCCTATTCTCCTGACGTGAAAATTAATATAATATGTAGACCTCGTGCCCATCGAGATGTATCAAATACACATTTCTGTTGCAGTTATTATACTTCGTTCTCCCATTCGAATGTTCCAGCGGTGCTCGCACTTTCGTTCGCCTAAACCGTCGTTCTATTGTGTTATTATTAATGGATTTAATTCACCTCACGCGGACCGATACCTCTACAAGCTATATTTTTCTACTAGTTTCTTTCCTGTGTCAGTATCTCGTCATCTCGCACCCGTTCTCTATTCGCGTGTTTTGCTGATTGATTACTCTGCTAAAATGATTTAATCGAAATTCTTCGATATCTTGTCTCGGTCAAGTTCTTTGTCCCAACCCACCTACCGTGATTTATCCGCTACCATAACTAAAAACATCAACTATAATAAACTTAATAAAAGCTGAAATAAAATTTACTGCAGATGGTTGCCAACATTCTTCCAGAAGCCTATACATTATTTTGTGTTGCTCTGCAGAACTCAGAAAACACCTGCAAAAGTCATAATGGTTGTTAAACAAAAAAATCAGCTCGCCCAAAGTGGCGTTACGCTTTATGGGAAAAAGACGCTATCATTGAAAAAGACCATTTACTCCGATCGGCAAGGTCTTGCGCTTAGCCTGAGCCGAAATCAGGCTAGCCTAAAAGTACAGCTTGGAAAAGTTAATGCAAAGCAAAGAAAAGCTCTCCAACGGTTGCTGGATGACTCTTCCGAAAAAGTAGATCAAATTTGCCCAACATAAGCAAAAAACTACTCTCTAAAAAAGATTAACATACTAGTATTAACATATTAGGATTAACATATTAGTAGATTATATTGCAAACTATTACAAATTTCCAAAAGAAGCTAATTTTGGCAGAAATCAAGCCGTATCAGCCATTGGTTTATGCCATTAAGCGACCGGGGTGTTTGATCGTTTCTTTCATGCCGATATAATGTAAACAAGTGTTAGTCAGTGGGCATGTACGTTGGGTAGTTATCTCGGATTTTATTCGCCCAGTTAGATTACGGACTGACCAGAGGCGAAGAGGTCCTCAGAGGACTGCAAACAAAAGACGCTGTATACCACAGACATACGAAATTTTAGGGGAACTAGTAAACAGCGTGACTTTAACGTCGTCAATTCAGTAGACGGATGACGTTAAGGGAAAGAGAAATGATTCTTAAGCAATGTTAAGGATAAAATCAAAGATATCCGAACGTTAAGAATAGCCCGATCAGCTAAATATCTATTTGCCACATATAGAAAAAAGTGATGGAAATCTACATTTGACTGCTAATAGAAAGTGGACTTTGATTATGTTTTTTTAGTGGGTCACGCGCGAAATGCATGTGAATGTGTATCTGTATGTTACTGTACGTTTCAAGCTCGTTTATCCGTCGTGAAGACGTCGATAACTTAAGTTAAGGATAAATTAAGCTTTAGTAAGAGTTGTATATACGCACACATGAAATTAGATAACATAAACCAAACTAAATTGTATGCTTACACAATTTTATTAATCACGAGAAATTCAAGTGTTTCAATTAAGTACGTAAGCATACAAGTTTATTTAACTTCATTTTCATCATATTTCTTTGTAAGGTAAATATACTACATCTGTAACGAACGATAGTTAGATATTCAGATGAGGAATCTCGATTCAAGTAAGGACAAAAGGGGAAACATAGTACAAAATGAATAGCTTAGAGTGCTCGTATGCGAACGCCATTGCTTACAACTAGATATTCTGCAGAGAATTTGAAAGAGACTATGCTCATAAGAATAATAATAAAAATAAATGATACAGAGAGAAAATAAGATAATAACACCAAAATCAACAAATCTTCTACTTAACGTATGTACGATTGCATTTGGGTTGTGTATAAAAGACATTAGCCACGCTCAAGGGGATGATCGTCTCGGATTTGTGAACCCTATACTACGGGACACAAGACGGGTCTGAAAAATAGCAAGAGCGTTATGCTTTATTTCGATGCAATTGTACCATCTGAGTCGATCAAAAAACTCTTCGTAATAGTTTTCTATGATTCTATGATGGATTAAACAAGCAATGTACAGTTCTCATTCATCGGGCGACGCTGATACTTATTAAGACTAGTACGTTTGTAACTATGAAAATATTTGATTTCGTTCATTTTTAGTCAATAAATAATTATCTTATATAAGCATGGTCGCACGTAATGCAGAGAAGCAGCAGCCTTGTCTTGTCTTGTCTTGCGGTAACCAGCGGCCAATGCAGATACGGCCTACACTTATTGCCGACCCATAACTTACTCAACACCTTACTGCTCTTCATACATGTACAGACTTCCCAACCATTTAGCCAGCCTGCTCTTTGACAAGCCTCCAACTATAGAACTCAAGAGGTCCCACTGTACTCTCCCTTCAGCTTGTCCACGTCTGTTTCCAAGTTTTCTGAACGGTTTCCCCCTTTGGCAACGTGGGTGATCGACCCAAACACTCGAAACCCCTCACACGAAATAGGACTTACTTGCCGCATTTGTACCCCGTTATTTTCGCCCTTTGACGTATATTTCTTGAACATAGATCGGTACAGCTTACGAAGCTATGTTCATATGTATACACTGTACATTATGAGAAACAAGGGTCTGTGCCACTTCAGTCTTTGAGCATATATTATGCTGGCTCGATCGATCTGCTACTGTTAGTGAGTTCTACTGAGGTCTCTCAAACATGTAATTATGAGTTTGAGCTTTGATGAGGTTAAGGATTCAATAGAGAGAAACGACCACAATCTCTCGATTGCTGAAAACTAGCGCGTGATGTCGAAAAAAACGATGTGCAACGAAAACACTGCCCGACTGGACGGGCGCCAAAACAACGTGCGTTCTAATACGAACTCACTTTGATGGACGCATGATATTTAACAGGACCGCGCATTCTAACGCAGCGCCACCCACTTCAAAATCCGCGGCTCGTATTGCTGTCGTAAATTGAACCAAAAAGCGACTTTATTTACACAATGAGACTAACTGAATCGTGATGTGGACAGTTTTGAATGGAACTTCACGAAGAAAAAGCCATGGTCAAGTAGCAAGGCACGATTCTTAGATTAATTTTTGCCATTAATTATATCCGACTAAGTAAGCCCGTTGGCCAACATTGTTTGAGCGTGTACCGTTGAAATAGAATGACGATGAATCTATGTCGAAAGCTATACCCCCCTATGTTTCGAGTTTTACGTCCGGTATCGCCTTTAGGCATTCCAGGTTGTATAGATCGAACCTAAACCACAACGTGTCCTTAAGATTGGCAAGCAAATATGTTACCCAATAGGCCATTACCGGCGCAAGAAAACCATACACCCTAATGAGTCCTGAAATAACAACCTCATCGTTCAATGATCGGGAGGTCAGTCTGATTCAGTATTTGCTGTTTCGAGCCCCACTTGTTACACTGACTGAGATCTCCAATGGTCGTCGCACAGCCACGCAACGATGCCACCGGCCTCAAGACTCTGCTGCTTCGTTACGTTTGCTTATTCGTTATCTGCATATTTTAAACGTAGCCACTTAAAGCAGGGTGAGCGTGGAGCACACAGTCAGTTATGACCTGCTCGAAAATTTAAGCCCCGCATCGCTGCTTCAACGAGATCATTCGTTTTCAGATCTGTCGCACGGCTGATGTTTACTCCAGTCCTGCCACTGTTGTATTTCCAGTTTAGCAAAACTGTGACCTCATACAATTTAAACAGTATAGTCAAATAGATTCCTGCGAATTCTGGGGCACCCATTGGGCTAGTCTCCGTGTGTACGTCGTCATCTATCTGTGTTAGTGTGAATGAAGTTTTTTCTCTGTATGATGTTAGCTTCTCTACTGGCTCAATCCGGCTCACTTGTAGTTACCGAGGCAAAGGCCATCGGTGTGTAGTTAAGCGACGCCTGCAGGGACCCCCCCTCGTATGAAAGGTGCCCACTGCCTCCAACAACTCTTCACTGATCTTTTTACGTCGTTGCATTTTAACAGCCATTGGCGCTTATAAACAACCAGTTTCGCTGTTATTCTACGTTAGTGGACGCTGCAGTCATTGTGACAGGCATGTCGACTGGTTCCTTTTTCAATTTTTGCACTCCGCTCTTCACCTTCACTGACGTTAGCCTCTCCGTATACGCATCAGTGACACTTTCTCCTCCAGTCACATCGACTGGGAAGATTGGTGCGTCTGGACATACCACCCTGCTGACATTTCAAAACTGCCTGCAGAACCCACTTAAACCATGAATTACGATCCGTTACACCATCTCAGCCAAAGACTATTGAGCCGCATTATTGGCATTTTGGTTGTGCCACTAAAGCTACCCCCGACAAAACACTGACTCTTTCGGATTTCCAGCAAAAGGTGGCGTAAGTACCTCTTCATGTTTACGCTTCCTCATATACAAAACATGTGGCTCTCTTATGTTATGCACCGACTTCCAGCTTTTATCCCCTTTCACGTCACAACTGTTGCGTGCTAAAGCCGTTCATCAATCCGTCTTACCTGCTTGAATCCGACACTTATACAGTAGACCTTTGTCAGCCAACAAACTCGAACGCGATGCTTCCGATCAGATTCATTAAGTCCTTCCCGTGGCCGTTTCTGTCCTGTGTGACAGGGGATCAACATAAACGCAGCTCCGTTGTGTCCAATAGTCAACT